TTTAAAAATATCAAACAATAAACACCATGGATAGAATTTGGATTCTGTTCATCTTTGGATCTGCCAACTGATAGAGTTTCTAGGTTCTTCTGGTATTTCATTTATATTGGTTAAACCTCCTTTGTAAATGGTGATGGTCTGTTTTAATGCCCTTAAAATTCTTTTATTCATTTCCCACTTTTCACCATCAACACCTTATTCAAGTAGGTCAGGTTGAATCTGCCTCAATCTCACACCATGTTCTCTCATTTTTTATTATTTCTTCTAATTTTGTATTAATTTTGGTAAATGCTCTAACAAGTAGTCTGATACCACACAGAACTGTTGATTCAAAAAATCACTTCCATCTGCATAACAAGTTATTTCTTGTCTATTAAAATATAATCAAGTTCACTCTTTGTAATAGGATTTGGTAGCCAATATATCTGGAGCCTGTTATGTTGGGGTTTTTTTTTGTTTTGTTTTGTTTTTTGGTTAGGCAATGGGGTTAAGTGACTTGCCCAGGGTCACACAGGTAGTAAGTGTCTGAGGCCGCATTTGAACTCAGGTCCTCCTGAATCCAGGGCCAGTGCTCTATCCACTGCGCCACCTAGCTGCCCCTGGAGCCTGTTCTTTAAAAAATATTTATGACAAAGGCTTCTGTATTGTTTATGAGTCTTTGGTCACTCTCATTTCTTACCCCTGAAGCTTAATTTCATGGAGGGTCTTATTGAATTATTCTTAAAATTACTCTAGTGTTTCATCCTCTGCAACCAATATTGTTACATAAGCTATCATTATTTTCAAGATAGTTTTTTAAAAAATATTTATCGTGAGCATTGCAGTCCTAGAACAAAGGTACCACAAAATGTTGTTTCTTGTCGCCTTTGGAAGCATACTAAGACTAGCTCTACCTACTTCTTCATTAGCCTCTCCAAGTATAACCTGTGAACCGTTTTTTGTTTAGCTGCAACCCTTTCACCTTCTGATTTCATTTACTCAAGAACATTAAGATTGATGATGATGGAATTCAACAGATTGAGATCATTCTTTCCGTTAGTATGTCCCCTTATTAGTCAGAGGACAAGAATCTTACATTTAGCATATCAACAAAGAAGTTAATGTTTATGGAGGGTGTAGAAACTATGTGAGTCTTGGCACCGTTTTCTACCTTTCTTCAGTGCTCATTACAGAAACAGAAGAGAGTCACACAGAGCAAAGGTCATTTCTTATTTTCTTTCTTTCCTGAATTACCATAGACAAAAATTCATCCTCTAATGGTCAGCCTACTAGCAATGAGCTTCTTAGTACTTACCCAGACCGATTCTCAAAAAGTCGTCATCGTCTGTTTACAAAGCTTAAGCTCCACTGGTACAGCCTTTAAGAATCCCCATGCCATGAGGTATTGGAAAAGCACTAGTTAAAATTTGACCTTTCTCAGTTTGAATCAGCATCTTTTATTTTTGCCTCAGTGAAGGGAAGGAAAAGAGACCTCTCTCATATATTGTTATATATACTTAAAGACCATAAAATTAAGTTCCTAGTCATCCTTCCCACTCTAGGAAAATTTTCTACCTGTTCATCCCGTAGTTTCCATTTTGTGAAGGGGCCAGGCCAACCTGCCTTCATTCCCCTCTTTTTTTGGACCTCAAAGTCATCCTTCTACTGCTATCTCACCATTGAACTTATTTGACCACGTAAGGCTTCCTCACCCTGTATCCTACTCACCCTGGCATGTCCCTCTTCAGGACACATCTCCCTTCTCCCATTGATTGAATTCCTTCTGGACCCCTCCTTTTGTGAAGGTGCCCAGGCCAGCCTACCTTCATTCCTTCCTGGCCATGTTCTTGATTTTCTGGACTTCAAAATCATGCCCTCGCATCAGGTTTTTTCATTTCCCATCCTTCTCTACCCACCTCCTCCAACTTTTCAGCTCCCTTTTAAAATGCAAGTTTTTTGAGTACATGGACTGTCTTTTTATTTGTATTTGAATCCTCAATGCTTAGCAGAGTGGCTGACAAATAGTAAGCATTTAATAAATGCATGTTTCCTTTCTCCCTTGTCATAACTATCACTCTCCAACCTACAGTAAAATCCTTGACCTACACATCTACTTATAATTATAGGTATATAATTACAGGTAACTAAGTGGTGCAGTGGACCAGGTATTGTACCTAGAACTAGGAAGACCTAAATTCAAATCTGGCCTCAGATACTTACTAGCTATGTGATTTGGGCAAGTCATTTGAACTGTCTCTCTCATTTTTCACATCTGCAAAATGAGAGGTTGTTGTGAGAATAAAATGAGATAATATTTGTAAAGCATTTTGCAAACCTTAAAGCACTATATAAATGCTAGCTATTACTATTCCCGCTTTTATTTCTGCTTTGGTATGTTTGTTTTTCCCATACTGTACCCATTAAATACTTATCTATCTTTGTCCTTCTAAGAAATTATAAACTGCTTTAGGGCTGGGGCTCAGTCTTATAAAATAAACACCAAGTGCCTTGTCTGATGCTATATATTCTGTGAGCACTGTTTACTTATTAAGTAATCCATTGTGAGAAATTTCTAACCTCTGAAGAAACACATGGATGCATTCTGTCAAGTAGCAGAACTCCTTCTGTTGGCACAATTAAAACTATTAGGAAAATTGGACCACAGAATGCTCATCTGATGGCTGATCAAAGGCAGCCCCACTTTGCTCATCAGATTTTATTGTATTAGATCATAGCTGTAGGCATGGAATTCAACAGGCACATCCAGTTGGAAAGGGAAGACTTAACTCACTTTCAGTGCTGTTTCCCCCATACTCCCCTGGGTACTTCCCACGTTGGAATAATACATGAAGTGATGTGCTTAATGCAATTTCAGATTAAAGGGCTATTGACATGAGGCACCAACACTTAGAGACATGATTTAGTAGCCCAGAACAATAAGCAGCTTGAATAAGAAAATGCCAACATTCCACAATGTTAATAAGCCAGAATGAGAAAATAATGACAGCACAAAAAGCAAACTGTTCATGCCTTCCAAGATACTAACTTCAAAAAATTTTTTCAAGATGGCAACCAGGGAAAATGAGATTTTCTTTAAAAATGAAATATTAAAATAATTGGTTGTCACTTGCATATTGATTTTACAAGGTAGGGACTGTTTGACTTGAAAATCAAATCATCTATAAGCTAAGTCATCAAATGTAGATGAAATCCAAAAGGCTGCAGTCTAGGAATTGCAGCTTGAATTTATGCCATGTGATATTAACTTCTGGTTTGGCTCTTAGAAGGTGAAATCATCTGGCAGAAAGGATAAACACACAGTGGACAGAGCACCAGCCCTGGAGTCAGGAGGACCTGAGCTCAAATCTGGCCTCAGACACTTGACACTTACTAGCTATGTGAGCCTGGGCAAGTCACTTAACCCCCACTGCCTATCAAAAAAAAAAAAAAAAAAAGAAGAAGAAGAAGAAAAAGAAAGGTAAAGTACATCTGAGTTTAGTTTGGGGATAAGAAATGGGGAATTGAGATTAGGGGGAAATGTGCCCCTGGAAGAGATGTCAGTAACTTTCATATTCCTTTAATTTTTTGATTTATTGATGTTGGATGGCTATAATTCCATTAACCATATTGCAACTACTATTCATCAGACTTAGTATTGGTGTCTGATGAAGGTCAATCAATAATGAGGCAGCATGGTGCAGTGGGAAGAATACCAACCCTGGACGTACCGCTGCTTCTGTGACCTGGGTCATATCAATTAACATCCCTGGGCTTCAGTGTCCACCTCTATAAAATGAAGAGGCTAGACTAGGTAACCTCTGAACTCTCTTCCAGTTTTAAACCTCTGAACCTAACTGTCCCTCTCATATACATGTTGTTCAATTAATTCGCTCACCTTATCACTGTCAAATCCAAGCATCTCTATTAGGGTTTTACCTGATTTGGACTTACCTGGTTTTCTGCTTTCTGCAAACACTGTGCTAGGCACAATATAATAGATGGCTATCAAATTTTGAACCACTCAGGTTTAGAAATTCTTAAGATACTTTTCCTACTCATATATTAAGAACTGAAACACTGAGGGATGGTAGCAGCAGGCTGAGAGAGAAAGACAGGGGTTGGGGGAAGAGAGAAGAAGGGAGAGGAAGGAAGAGAAAAGAGGAAAAAAGAGAGGGGAAAAAAAGGAGAGGAAAACATAGAAAGAACACAAAAGGAAGCATTCTCCTGCAGTTTCTTTGCCCTGAAATATCTACTTTCCCTGGCTATAGCCTTCTTACCCTGGAATATTATTCCACAAGGCTTGCTCCCTACTCTTGTTAGTGAGTCCCTCCCAGAGGTTCCATTTTGTGGAGGGGCCCAGGCCATCCAGCCTTCATTTACCTCCCAGCCCTTTTCCTGATTTTCTGGACTTTAAAACCATCCCCTGCCTCACTAGGGACTTTCATCCTCGCCTTTACCTCAGCTCCCTTTTCTGTGTTATCTTCAGCCATTCGAATGTAAGCTCCTTGAGGGCAGAGACTGTCTTTCTTTTTGCCAATATTTGTATCCCCAACACTTAACAAAGTCCTTGCCACATAGTAAATGCTTAAGGAGTCAATGTAAAGGGGAGGTGGGAGCAAGTTGTACAAATATGAATTCTTGGGAATAAAACATTAAGGAGCAATTGTGAAGGAGAAAGGGCATATGAATATGAACCCTTCGAGCTAATTCTGTACCCAAAGTGAGTGAGCCTCTGTATCTGGATCAAGGGATTCTGTGGCCTCGGATTCTAGTTCCCATAAGCAATCCTGGCATATAAGGGCAGCGATGGCATGCCCTGGGAGACATGAATCAATTCATGACACACTTCCAAGTAACTAGTGGTCTCTGTTTGGGAAAGGAAAACGTAGGAAGAAGCCAAAAGACCATGAGCTCTCGTAGAAGCATAATTAGTGAGAAGTGGTAAAATGATTTCGATCCTATGTGAATGGGTCTTTAATTTCCTCTCCCAGCTCTTCCCAAGTCAGGATTATTAGCCATACCATAGCAACTCTGTCCATCTCCTCGAAAGCCAATGGAGCACTCGCAAACGAACTGACTTCCTGGACCTGGGCGGCACGCTGCATTTGTGTCACAACCATGGGTACCCGTGTAGCAAGGATTCTGAAGGGAGTCAGGGGAGCCATCTGAAAAGGTAGACATGTCGAAATTAATTTTCTAAGTACGTCTAAGCACTCAGTGGAATGCCTTTGGTATGATTCTTGACTTTAAAAAAACACACACAGTAAGTTCTACATGCACTCCTCATTTTTGCTTAAGATAGCACATCAACACCTTAGATGGAGTACTGGAATAGGATAACAGGTGACCCACGTTTTAGATTAAGCACTATGCTTCGGTCTTCCCTTTGGGCCAAAGGATACACATGCACATTCTTCCCCTACTTACTCCACCTTTGCAAAATCATGCTGGATACCGAGAGTGAAAGAAAGAGTATGGAAAATTAAAGCATGAATTTAAACTCTCTCTCTCTCTCTCTCTCTCTCTCTCAAGCCCCATAAAACTACTGCTTTACGTACCCCCAATAGGACCAATTGAATTGCTCAAAGCATATCTCAAGATCTTCTCTTCCTTGTTGTATAGGACAAACACACTATCCACAGAAAGTTGCTGGGTGGGAGGAAGAGGCTGTCGAGGATCTTCGTGAGTACACTCCTGGAAGGTAATGGTCTGCCTCCATTGGTAAGTGTAGGTACGTGAAGAAGCAATCCCATCTTGGGCAGGTTCAGTCACTTTATATTCCCGGGTGGAAGAGGATGTGATAACTGGAAAAGGCAGAGAGATAACATGTCATCAACAGCAAGAAAGGAAATCTTGAAGGAGGTTTGAGGAATGATATCCCAAGGCCAAATACTTCCCACCTGTAATTCCACCAGATGAGAGATTGGAACAGGTGAGAAAAACTACTTTTCCTTTACTAGGACCAATCTCTTTGCCTCTAGAAATTCCTTCTTTCTCCTGTTATTTTAGTACATTGTGGCTTTCTAGGATTAAGGGATTTTTTTAAAATAAAGAATTTTTTAAAAAAAGAATTTCAAAATTGACCCAGGAATTACACAGCTAGCTTTGTGTCAGAAGGCAGTTTCCACAGAGCTATGAAAAATCGGTAATCAAACCTAGAAAGGCAATGAGAGGAAGGCTTTCAGAGGAAAAGAAATCTCACTGTTCACTCATGCACTGGCTACCTTCAACTTCTTCCTTTAAAATAAAAATTTATACAGAGCCTTTACAATTTTATGCTTCACTGCAGTTTTCTACATAGTAGGAGCTCACCAAAAGACAAAATTATACATAAATTACACAAGTAGGCTTCTTTATATCAAAATGCTGCCTGCAGTGCTATCTAAATTATCCATTTACAGGATTGCCTGTTACTAACTACGTTCTGCCACCTTTCACAGAGGCAGGGAACCAAGTTTGGATTCGATATTTAAAGAGTTATGCATTTCTTCAAAAGCAAGAAAAAATAAGGTACAGAATTTTCTCGGCTTCTTACAGTCGACATTAGTAACTCTTTGATATGGAGAATGGAGGATGACGTGGATTCTCATTCTAGCTTCTTAATTATTTAAGCAGGTAGGTGGGCACAGTGGATAAAGTACTAGGCCTGGAATAATGAAGACCTGAATTCAAATCCAACTTTAGACATTTACTAGCTATGTAACCCTGGTCACTTAACTTCTGTCTCAGTTTCCTCATCTATAAAATGGGAATAATAATAGCACCTACCTGCCAGGACGGTTAGAAAAATCAAATAAGATAATAATTGTAAAGCACTTAGCACAGTGCCTGGCACGTAGTAAGCAATATAAGAATGTTAACTGTTGTTGTTGTTGTTGTTTAATTGCCTCCTCTAGCCAATATAGGCCCTTGAACTCACTCAGCCCTTCCCTCCTGCTGTGTATTATTTACACTGTCCTCTTAATCTCGGATCTCCCCTTATTAAAATTTTGTCCAGCCTAAAGCCACTAGATACCACTTTTTCAATGAAGCCTTCCCTGAGTCCTTTCCAGTCATCTGTCTTACCTATGTTCTGTCACAATTGGCCGTACTTCGCCTATGTGCTTAAATTCTAATTGGCATGATGACTTTATCTCTAGGTTATTTCCCTTTACTAGGATATGAATCATAGCTTTCTATCCCCATATCAGATGCTTACTAAATCTGTACTAAACCAAGGCTGCGTGATTCTCAGTAAAGTAGTCTGGGGTTCACAGATCACCTCATCTAGAAACTTGGGCTTACCAGAGTTGGCATAATGGTAGAGCTCAGTGTAAGGTTCTATCTGGACAGTGGAGCCAAATGGGATCTCAGGGACGCGTCCATCCAACTCTGTAGTGATGGTCAGGTGGCCATGCTCATCAATGCCATTGAATTTCTGTTTTATGACCATCTTGTCTGGGTGGCCAACAAAAGTCACTTCAGCTTGACGAGTGAACTCTCCTCCTGCAAAGTAAAATCACCAAGGAGTAGTCAGCTTACTGGATCCAACTGTCACTGGGCCAGCAATAAACACTTTCATGCTTAACTCCAAACAGACAAAAAAAAAGTAATCATGTTGAGATTCTGGGAGGTTTGAACTTTCCTTGTATATATCTATAAAAATCTGTGTTGCACTTGGCTTTGTGACCCTAAGCAACTCACTTGGTCTCTTGTATACCTTAAAATGCTGTTTTTAAAAAATGCAAAGTGAGGGGTAGCTAGGTGGTACAGTGGGTAGAGCACTGGCCCTGAAGTCAGGATGACCTCAGTTCAAACCAGCCTCAGACCAAACACTTGACACTTACTAGCTGTGTGACTCTGGGCAAGTCATTTAACCCCAATTGCTTAAAAAAAAATGCAAAGTGGTAGTACCTGCCTCCCAGGGTTGTTCTGGGGATCAAATGAGACAATATATGTAAAGCATTTTGCCAACCTTAAAGCATTATAGAAATGTAAACCATTATTATATCTTGTCCATTCTTACTCCTAATAGGTGATTAATAAATATATGCTGGTGGAGTTAAAAAAAAAAGAATCTGTGTTAGATCCTTGCTTTCATTTGGTTAAGGACCACATGTAAAAGTGACTGGATTCATGAGTTTAACCCTCCTAGGGCCAATTTACCTTCTGCTACATGGCCACTAGGTGCCTGCCAGCTAGTGATCTTACAAAAAGCATGTTGTTGATAACCAGCAGAAGATGATGAAGGAAGAATATGGCTCAGTGCAACCCACCGCCACTATTAGAAAAATTCTAAGCACACGTCCTCTTGCTGAGGGTGGTTCAGCCATATCACATTCCTTGATGCAGGATGAAGCATCCATTCATGAAAAATGAATTTCTCATACCTTCCTCCTCCTGGAAGAGAGGCAGGGGACTATTAGAGTAAAATGCTGAATACATCATCAGAGTGGTTGCTGGACACAATGTTTTTCTTTGTTTCAAAGACAATTCAATCTGGAATTGAGGTAAGGGGGAAGAGGATCTCCCCCCATAAATGAGAGTGATATAAAGACATCAACAAAATATATTTAACATTAAATTAAATTAGTATTTCTTCTCCACTCCTATCTTTGTTTTTCCCACATTTATCTATTCCCATTGTATGGTTATGTAAACCCCAACTGTAAGGCTGAGGTGTCTGGGCTACTGAGAAGGATGAGAAGTAGTAAGAAGGGAAATACAGACTGAGCAAATATTGTACGTATAAAAGAGTCTCTTGGTCCATCAAATTTGATTGGCAAAAAAGTACTTGGATGAGAGTGTATAAGCTATCTCCTCTTTAAATCTACTCACATCCCAAGTGTAGCCCAAGGAAAGTTATTGCCTAGCATATGTTAACTCTGCCTCAGATTCAACTCTGAGAACATTTAACATACAGGACCACACAGGGCTAGATGAAACTTTCTGGTGTCTAATGTGTAAAAAAGATCAGGTTCTGTCCATACACTGACTCAAACCCAAAGGAAGTGGTAAAATTTGGAAACGGTATGAGAAGAGCCATACATAACATGGCACATTATAACTACTTTTGCTACTACTAATTTGTAGGTTCCTCTTCAAGTCAAAAAAGGTCCGCAGAGGGGGCAGCTAGGTGGCGCAGTGGATATAGCACGGGCCCTGAAGTCAGGAGTACCTGAGTTCAAATCCCGCCTCAGACCAAACACTTGATAACGTACTAGCTGTGTGACCCTGGGCAAGTCACTTAACCCCAGTTGCCTAAAAAAAAAAAAAAGGTCCTCAGATACAACAAATTCTGTTCAATCTCTGCCTGAAAGCTAAAGTCATATGAATGTGGTGCATTTAATTTTGAAATGCAAAACTGGTTGAGGCAGATGGATCAGAACAAAGAGAGGAAGGGGATGAGACAGGATGATTCAAATCTTGACCTTAGAGGACTGAAGATATTGGATATTCTCAGCAGAGAAGAACTACTGGTATGGAATAAGTTGTCAACATATCAGTTTGCTTTACTTGACAGTATTTCTTTGTTTTAAGGGAGAGTTTTGTAGGGGGGTAGTTAGTAGGAAGTAATAGTATCTAAAAAAAATCAATAATTGATTTCCAATAAAAGATGATTGTCTTTCAATTAATAAAAGAAGCTAAATCTGAACGAGCCGTGAGTTGAGACTAGAAATGAGCTGAAATGGTATCTCAACCTCTCTGATAACCTGGGCATTTGGGATTGAAAAGCCAGGGAGACTGGCTTAAAACAGGGCAACAAAACCATTCTCCAAAGTAGTGCTGGAAGAACTCAAGTCAAGACTCAATTTCAAGGGGCAGCTAGATGGTACAGTGGTTAGAGCACAGGCTCTGGAGTCAAGAGGACCTGAGTTCAAATCCAGGCTCAGACATTTGACACTTATTAACTGTGTGACCCTGAGCACGCCACTTAACCCCAAATGCCTGGCCAAAAAAAAAAAAAAGAGTCAGTTTCAGGTTTCTGTGTTTCCCCTGAAGCATTATAATCATCAAAAGCCATTTGAGAAAGAATATGGTTTGGATGTCATGGTTGACATATTGTCTATCTGGCTACAAAGAAAATACATAAGACTACTTTGGTCACCAAAAAAAAGTAAAAGCTTCTAATTTTCTTGAGAGGTGAGAATTCAAATTTTCATCCTGTGCCACCAAACACCAAGAATCTCGTTAGGGTGGTACAGAAGAAAAAGCTTTGGCTTTGAAATTAGAGGATCTGAGTTCAAATTCTGACTGCTACTTAATATCAGGGTGACTTTGAGCAAGTTACTTTATCCTTCTGGGCCTCTGTTTCCTTATCTATAAAATGAGGGGGTTGGATTAAATGACCTATAAGGGCTCCCTTCCAGTTCTAAAATCTATTATTCCTCAATTTTCTCATCTGAAAAATGGGGATAATAAAATTTGTAGTAATTATCTCACATGGCTATTGTGAAGTTCCAATGAGATAATATACATTAAAAAATTTGTATAAACCTTAAAAAATAATACAGAAATCAGTTCCTGTCGTTATACCATTAATATGATCATGACTATAGATCTTGGACTTGGACTAAGACAGGAAGAAAAAATGCTAATATTTAGAAATCAGAACATTTTAAAGGTTTAAAATGGGTACATTTTAAAAAACATAGTGGCCCCTCACAAATATGGTCACAGTTAAGGAAGTAATGTAGTATGTTATCTTTAATTTGTTTATATTCTCTGGCTGTTTCTGGTATGTCTCCCTTCCTAGACTATAAACAAGTTAAGAGGAAGAATCCTGTCTTCCATTTCATTTGTATTCTGAACCGTGCAATGCACACAGCAAGCACTTAATAAATGTTTATTAAATGAACATCTGTGATGATGATAACTAAGGAGAATGTTTAAGAAAGATGCACTATATTCAAGACATTGTCCTAATTAATTGAGAAATGTTTGTGGGACCTGAAGACTCAGCAGATATAACGCGAGATAGAAGAAGAATTTTAATTATGCCCCCAGGCATTCCTCTGTTAACAAAGAGGATGCATTTCAATGACATATTTCTTTATAAGAAAGGTTGTTACTGGAGGAAGTATAACCCAAGCAGTATAAGGACATATCCCAAGAGGCTCCTGCAGGAAAGTATTATTAAGTAGGAACTAAAATAATGCCAGAAGGGGTAGAAAACATGATGAATGCAACTTGAAGTCTAGGGCCAGAATAAAAGGGAGGGAAAGAAAGGTGAGCCATGATAATGTTAGTGGAGGAAAGAGGCTGACTTTTTTTTTTTTCTGTCAGCACAGATAGGGAAGGAGGCAAGAAGGAAGGCTTTCATTCCACGGTTAGAGATGGACAACTTAACGTGCAAAGGCTGTTTGAGGTAACGCAGTGAAAGTAATTCATTTGACAATTAGCTAATCGATACATATAAAGATTGACTTCTGATGCTTTCTTGTTTTGGTAGTTAGAGGAAAGGGGAAAAAATAACTAGGGAGCATTGGGCACTTGAAGCTGGAGGAGACTTGAGGAAGCCAAATTTATGAGTTCATGTGGGATTTCTCCATTTGCATTCATCTGGGAGGGAACAAGCAGAAGCTCTGTGTACATACTTTTCCCTATGCTTTGAATGATTAATGGAGATTTTCAAAGACAATGACTTAGTTATAAAAGAGCTTCCTTTCTTCTCAGAGAATTGTTAGTCAAGTAATCAGCTATTGCTAAATTACCTTCTTTGAACATAAGATCTAGAGCTGGAAGAAACTTCAGATGTCATCTAGTCCAAACCCCATCATTCTGAAGATAAGGAAATTGAGACCCTTTAAAAAATTAGCTCAGGAAAGGCTAGATGTTTGTTTTTCCTCTTAACACATCAAGAGGCTAGAAGTCAAATGCCTCTTAAGTTTTGAACCTGAAACCTAATAGCCTATAGAATGTGGCAGCCTATGTGAGTTCAGGCCAGGGATTGTGTTATCATGTATGCATTGATGGTAGTCACTTGCATTGCCAAAGAATTTCAAATTAACAGTTATCTCTGCCATGAAACGTCTGCTAGGTCAACATGTAGCCCTAGGCACTGTCATTTAGTACCTCTCACTGAAAGCTGACAGCACCTTTGGCCTTCATACTATTGTAAAGAATACAATGAACAGTGTGCTCTGTCTACAGAGACCAAAATAAGCTTCAAAATATTTTCCACCCAGGCATAGTGTTCCTTTCTGATGCCCAATACCCAACACCATCTCCAGCCTCCACAGGCATTCTAGGAAAAGGCCAGTTGATTCATAGATTATGGTGTAAGGAAATTACCAGTGATACTGAATCCATTCTTGAATCCTTCTTGCTCAACAGCAAACATCCATCCAATAATGCCTCCCACAGGAGCCAGGGGTACCAGAGAATAGCCTAGGGACTCAGGAATGGTGCTGATGGCTGTGTAGGATCTCCCATGATTCATCACAACGTAAGAATGGAGGTCAGTATTCTCAAAGACAACTGGAGTTTGGCTATTCCCTACAAAGATCCTTCCTCGAACTTTACCATTAACTCGTTGGGGAGAACCTGTTTGGAAAACAAAAGATTTCTTTAAAAAAAAAAAACCACAAACCACAGAGATTTTAGTTTCAAGCCAGTCTTTCAAAAAGGGGAGAGGGATAACTTATGTTATCATAAGTTCCTACTCCTGGAGAAACCAAACCATGATAACAGTACCAGGATATACTATATTAGGATAAGCTAAGAAGCTTGTCCTTTTCAGGACTAAATTTAAGAAAAAGTTGATAATGAAATGAATAATATGATATGAAACATCATTATGCAATTGGGGCTCTGTTACGAGATCAGGGAAATCCCTCTGTGTATACACATCTGCAGTATGCCTCTGAACAACAACAGCATGATATATCACTGTCATCCAGAAAATTAATGGGAAGCCTATGACACAAGAATATTATCTCATCCATCACTACTTCTGAATGGAAGAGGATCTGTTCAACCTAAGATGTTCCATCCCAACCACCCCAGCCTAAGCCTTGCCCTCTCGGAGATAATCCCACAGCCCCAGAACGGGAACCGCTGTAAGACTTCTTCCTCCAAAAGCTCCAGCCAAAATCCTGCCCTCCCAACAATACACCCTAAAGATCTCTGGGCCTTGCCATCAGTCCTGTGACTGCACCCTAGGGACGACTGGGATTTTCCATACATCCTCTAACGGGATTGTTCTATATGTACTCTCTGCCCTCAATTAGAGGGTGAGCACTTTGTGAGCAGGGGTTGTCTGCATTTTCTATTTGTATTTCCAGCATGTAGCACAGTTCTTGGAATACAATAAGTCCTTAAATGTGTTTCTGTTCATTCCATTCCATTTGACTCTCTGTCTTGGTCCTGGATTCAAAGAATTCCTGTGGTCTCACACACTGGAGTAAGCCTAATTTAGTTTTCTGGCATGGGGTTGATTGAAATATACATAGAGATCTGGAGAAGTTAATCTTTTAATGGCCCCCAAACAGTTAGACCTATCATCCAAAGCTCCCATATTCCCCACAAGTGCTCCAGCCTCCAGAGACATGATGGCTAACACTAGAAGTTTGCTCAACACAAATTAGAACTTCTATTGGAACTAAGAAACCAATTACCTTGGGGAAGGGGGTGACCTGACTCTAGGCAAAAAAAGATCTCTAGGCAAAAGGAACTTAGACTTAACTCAAACGTCATTTATTTTGCAGAGTGTTTTCTCTACCCTGGGGCCAAGTACTGGTCATGTTCCCAGATTTAAGAATGGTTAAACAAATTTTGTGCATGAATATAATGGATCACTAAGCTGTGAAAAATGACAAATGTGAAGAATTCAGAGAAATGTGGGAAAATCAGTATGAACTGATGCAAAGTGAAATGATCGGAACCAAGAAAACAATATGCACAGGAATTACAATTATGTAAACAAGAAAGTACCAATAAAAGTAAAATTTAAGTCTGTGTAATTAACCAAGCTCAACCTCAGAAAAGAATTGAGGAAAGCAGCCCTTTCTTTTTTTGCAGAGATTGGAGATTATGAGTGTGGAATATCACATAACTTCACATATCTTCTCCACTCATTGGTTAGTTTTGGTGAACTGTTTTATTCTTTGCTCCAAAGGATGGTTTGCTAGGTAGAGGAGGGAGAGGGATACATTTGGAAATAAAAATGATTTAACATCAACAGATACCAATTTTTCTTTTTTAAGGAGGTAGTAGATTCTCCCTAGCTGGGGATTTTCAAGTAGAAGATTGATGGACAATTTGTTAAGGTATGGGTTCAGATATGGGTTGGACTAAATGACTTTAGAATTCTTTTCCAACTCTGAGATTCCGTGATTCTGTATCTTTAATATGGTAGGTGTTCCATGAAAATTTATTTAACAATTGAATGAATGAGCACAAAATACTTAAACTCACACCTGGGTAGATTCCATATCTCCATTTTTATCTAGCTGTTTTCCATATCTACAAGTAGCTAATCTAGAGTACTAGGCAGTTTACTGTACAGCATTTTGAGCTTGGCATAGTTTTCCATACAAATTTTTCATGACACTGGAGAATGTTATGAATTCAGTAGACTAATACCAAAAAAATGCCTCCTAGGAACAATTACAATAAAGAGTTGAGCCAAGCTAAGCTAATAAAGGGAGGGTGAGGGAATGAAATGTCAAATCTTCAACTGAAAAATTAAGTTTTTAAAAATAAGAAGAAAGCCAAAAAACATTTAAGCCACAAAACCATTTTTTGTTCAAATATGTGTGTGTACAATTTAAAAATAAATTGCAGAAGGGTCTAATTTCTGAACTTTCTGTAAAACAGAAAATCTTCTTGCTTCCAACACTGATAAGGTTGATTTTTTTCCCCAAAGATTTATTTGTAGCTTTCTACTCCTGCATTGGTATGTTAATTGGTCAGGTTTAACTTTTTCTTTTCCTTTGTTATAGGAGAAAGCTCATGGAAGGCTAAGAAGAGAGGTTTATGTTCAGAAATGACTGTGATGTAAAAACAAAGTCATTGATTCAACTTTTAAAAAAGAAAGAAAGAAATTGTAGGAAACCGGGAAAAAAAATTGTTCTTTGTCCTTGTGGAATTCAAAGAAACTATGAAGATCGTCTAGTTCAAACTGTATCTAAATAGGGATCCTCCCCTCCACAAGATACCCAAACAAGTCATACAGCCTTCATTTGAAGAATTGCAGTGAGGAAGAATCCACTACATCCCAAGGTAGCTCATTCCACTTTTAGATAGTTCTAATTATTTTATATTAAACTACTGTTCCTAGTTTTGTCCTAGCCCTGCCAAAAAGAATAACCTAATACCTCTTCTATATGGTAGCCTTTCATATAATTGAAGACAGCTAGTTCAGTCCCCTGTAGTCTCCTCTTCTCCAGGATAAACATTCCTCATTCCTCATATGCCAAGATCTCCAATCCTCCTCAAGCAGAAAAATCTGCTTGTCAACATCCTTCCTAAAATGTTGCTATCAAAGCTGAAGAAAGTTGTACAGACAGAGTCTATGACTGTCAGAATACAGAAGACTACTACCTCATTTATTTTGAATACACAGAAGCTGTTTTGGCTTGCCATAGAATGCTGAGCTGGTTCTAGGGGCCCCAGAGCTACTTCAGAGAACTGGCATCGCTAGAGAGGCTGAAACCAATACAATCAATCAGGAACCTTTCTGATCATTGGGTCTATCAAGAACCGAACCATATCTTTCCGGGGCAGGACACAGCTAAAGCAGATCTCAATCACTGGACATATACCAGTGGGGTTGATCCAGGAGTCTAATGATTTAGTCCCCCCTTGAATTCCAAAGTACCAGGCCTTGTCTTATCTGATTCAAGGGCACCTGGCAAAAGGAACCAAAAAGTGAAGCTGGAGGAGGAGGTGTGTTTTTATAGACTGCCAAATTCACAATGTTTTTAAGGACAGACCCAGAATCTAACAACCTGTTATATAGAACTACATCTGTGAAACATATTGCTTTGCTAACAAATTCAAATAGAATTTAGTAGAGTTTACAGGATGGTAAGGAAGAGTTCAGGGCAGCTAGGTGGCGCAGTGGATAGAGCATCGGCCTTGGAGTCAGGAGGACCTGACTCCTCAGACACATAACACTCACTAGCTGTGTGACCCTGGGCAAGTCACTTAACCCCATTGCCTAGACAAAAAATAAAAATAAAAACAAAAAAAATGAAGAGTTGAAAGCAGGGGAAATTAAAAGATATTAATGATTCCACCCCCTCGTTACCTAATTTCACTATTTCTGCCCATGCCCTTTCATTAGGCTTATCTACACTAAGGGCTGAAGCATCTAAGATTAAAAAAAATACATAGTATGGGAAAGAAACAGACCTACTCAAACAAGAACAAGCAGATTTAAAGCCAGTCCATTAGCAAAGTAGAAAGTAAGTACAGGGAGTAGGAGATTCAAAATCACTTGCATCATCTAGGTATATTTTAGTTGTTTTTAGTACTTTAAGGATCTGTGATTTCAATGACCTGAGACTCACTCTACCAGTGTGAATGATAACCCTTCCACTCTTTGGGAGACATATTTCATGAGGCCCCATAACTAAAAATGCCATCACTTGGTGACCAACCTCCTTTCTGGTATTGAGAATCCCCTCATCCCACTTCTAAAAGTGTTAAATGTCTCCAGAGACTTGGGTGAAGGCAGCAATTTAAAAGCAAGCATTCCCTTCCCTGCCACCTCCCTCAACACCCCATCAAATCCATTATAAGTGAGTGACTCACCTTCGGCAACGCACTGTCTACCGTTTCCAGTATATCCGGCGGCACAATAGCAACAAAAACCTGTTGGGTAGTCTCTGCATTGTGCATGAATGGAGCACTGGTATCTGTTATTGGCACAAGTCTGTCGAGAATCAGTGTTGTACCTGAAAACTGTTTCAAGGGGGAAAAAAATGTTCCAGTGAGGGCCTCTGTGAGTGTTACCTGTGGCTATACTTTGAGATGCCTTTCCTTACACCACATCTGGAGCATAGGTTCTTCTTTTTAAAAAATTCTTTATTTTTATCATTCTTTTTTTTTAAATTTTGAATTCCAAATTCTCTCCCTCCCTCCAGTCATTTCCCTAACCATTGAGAAGGCAAGCAATATGATTTCAATTATATATGTGAAATCATGCAAAACATTTCCATATTAGGGCATATCACCAAAAAAAAAACCCAAGAAAAATAAAGTGAAAAATAATATGTTTCAATCAGCACTCAGAGATCATCAGTTTTCTTTCTGGAAGTGGACAGCATTTTTCATCATGAGTTCTTCAGAATTGTTTTGGATCATTGTCTTGATTAAAGAGGTAAATATTTCACAGTTGAACATCATTACTGATATTGCTATTACTGTGTACAATGATCTCCTCAATGACTTCTGCTTCATTCTGCATCAATTCATGTAGGTCTTCCCAGGTTTTTCTGAAACCACCCCCTTTGTCATTTCTTATAGCACAACGTATTCCATCAGAACAAGGGTTCTGAATGTGAGGTCTCAACCACCGGATTTGAAGGGAGTCTATGAACTTGGATGGCAGGAAAAGTTACATCTTTAGTTTCACTAACCTTTAACTGAAATTTAATATGCCTTTTCAACTTTGAATGTAAGCAATAAATATTCTGAGAAGAGGTCCATAGGGTTCACCAAACTGCCAAAATGAGTCTTTTTGAACACAAAAAATAGTGAAGAACCTCTGACTTAGAGGAATTCATAATTGCTTACCAGAGGAGAAACGAGACATAGCTATAAAAAGTAAAATTCACTACAGACAAAAAAAAAGGAGGGGGAGGGTCATTGAAATGGGAATGGTACCATTACTCAAATAACCAAGGAAGATAGGAAAGTTTGAGTTCATAACATAATTAACAACTTTTTTTTTGGGGGGGAGTGATATAGAGAACTCTTGAGGAAAAAAAAATCCCTGTACCAATGAGTTGCCCGGGACACTGAGTCATTAAGTGACTTGCCCAGAATCACACAATCAAGATGTATCAGAGACAGGACCTGAACCCCAGACATCCTGACTCTGAAATGCCATGCCTTTTTAAAATGAGTTACTCTATACTAAATCACACTGTTTCCCAAATTCTAATGTGCAATGATTTTTGCCAACCTGGGAAATTTTTATGATTAACGATAATTATTTCTTAAATAAGCTAACAAATGTAATGACTTCTTCCCCCTCCTCAGGAGGCAGAGTAGGTGGTATACATAGCAGAGAATGTAGCTGTTTAGCTAGAGAAGACCACTGTTACATGGGACACTTATTATCACTGAAGAACAAATTCATTCTGTGGATTGAACTGCCTCACTTAATATCCACCTTAAAGTGCCAGGCCTATGAGAATAAATCTGAAGGTAGTCAGATGGGTGGGGGACAGCCATCTCACAATAGGCAATACAGAAGCCTAAATCAGTAATCAGAAGATAGCATTCATACCACACCTAGGTAAACTACTCCCCAATGTTTTTCACAAACATAGTCACACCTAGCTTAAAAACCTTTGGTCAAAGAAAAAGGGGGAAAAAAACCTTGCTATTTAAAGATCTCATCTCTTAGGTTCCTTCTTACCACAACTATGAACTAGCTCATTTAATTGAACAATCCAGAGCAAATTAATTTTGTATGTGGTCTATCCAAACACAACAGGGAGTGGTTTCTGGCTGTGATAACAATTCCGTGCATAATTAGAAGCCAATGCACGAGTGAGGTCAAAAGCAATAGAAATTTAATCACACGTAATTTCTATTAATCCTCCAGGAATGGAGTCACATAAGGGACATTTTCAGAGGATGCATAAAGAGGGAGCTGGGAAGAAAAGAAATCAGGGCCTCTAAACTGAACAAACACACTTGTAATGCTATTGATTACCCAACCTCCAACTGTGCCCCAAGCTTTCAAGTAGTTTCCCTACTGCCTGTCTGTCAGTAGGGGCCTTCATGGATAACAACATGAATACATTGAAGGCTAGGGTGAAGTCACTTTTCACTTGCTAATGAAAACAGTCAAAGAGCTGGGAACAGGAGAGGGAATAACACCTGATTTTAGGGCAGATTTTGGTTTTCAGTTCAAGGCTTTTACTAGCATAAATCTCCTTTCAACAAACATAAAATATACCACCATGGGTTAGGAGAGGTAGAGATGGTCTTGCTTAAAATATGATCGTTTCACAAATGAGAAATTCAGACATACCTAATAGGGTGGAAACATGGCAGGAAATAGAATGAGAATCAAACTAGACATCTGCAAGTGAATAAGTACATCTGAGGGAAACGCATCCAAAACATCTGGGGAAGATTAATTGGAAACACAGTTTTAAGAGGCAGATTGCCATGTTCCTAGGAACTTTTAGTATCATGTAAGACACCAATGATGAAATGTTTAAAGGAGGGAACATGGATGCCTTTAGCTTTCAGTCAAGAGTCAAAAGAAGGCAGTCTTTTCCTCATCCTGCCACCAATTTGTTATGTGACGTGGAGTAAATCACCACCTTTCTCTGCTTCTGTCAGCTCCTTCATGGAATCAGAATATCACCACATCTCCACATCTTGCCTGTTGCTTTCTTTGGGAATTTCAAATGAAGTTCAAGCACAAAATATGACTTATGACTGCCTTTGTTGGCCATGTAGTAAATCACAACAAGGAGATAAAAATGAAACAATAAGACTTCTCCAAGCCTTGTAATAACTTTATAGAGGGGGATAAGACCATGCAAATATCATTAAAGAGGTACAGTAAGACCGTGAGAAGAGCCTCGGTCTGGGCGGCAGAAGAGGTAGGATCTGACCCAGACTGGCTATGTAGTCACAGGCAAGTCATTTCATCGAGCCTTAGTCCTTCATCTCTACAATGGAAATAACACTTGCTTTAACCTTCCATGGGCCTATCTCGAATAAAGCAATTTGTATACATTTGGATCATGGAATCATAGAAGTAGTGCTAGATGGGAACTTAGAGGCCATTGAGCCCAACCTCCTAATTTTACAGATGAGGAAACTGAGGCATTGAGCAGTTAAGTGACTTGTGCAGAGTCATACTGCTCATGTCTAAAGTAGAATTTTTGAACCCAGGTCTTTCTGATACCATGCCCAGTGTTCTCTCCTCTATGCCACTATGTAGGCATGGATTATCATCATCATTAAAAGAGGTAATATAAAATAGACTTGGATCCATCCCATTTAAATCTTTTTTGCTGAATTATATCATGTTAGCATTAAAAAAAAATTTAACGAACACATTATTTTTAATAGAAATACAAAAGAGCCTTGTTATAAACCCAGATTCAGATTGCTGCAGGTCAGATTTTGTGCCTCAGAAACATACATATGACCAGCATGGTTTGGGGAAAGAACAATGGATTTGGAACCAGAGCACTTGGGTTCAAATACCAGCTCTGTCCCCTGCTACCTGCATGACTTTGGGCAAACCTTTCACATTTTAGAGTCTCAGTTTCCTGATCTATAAAATGGGGGGTGAGGGGTGTAGGTGATCCCAAAGGTCCTTTCCATCTCTTAAAATCTTATCTATTATCCTGATGGGTAACTAAATCCTATACCTCAAGACTAGCTTACAAACAGGGATTTGCCATATTGTATTTGTGGTTTTTACAGACCACCAGAGCAGCAACAGATGTAGGAGTTACAAAAGGAAAACAATCAACTATCCTAAATACCACAGACAGAACTTATAAAATTATTTCTGGTTGACAGATGGATAAATAGAAGGCCTGAGGATGCTAAGGTTAACAAGAAAAAGACTCAGAAGGGAAATCAAGCTATCTTAGAGTACTTAAAGGGTTATGATATGGAACAAGAATTACCTATTATGTTGATGTGCTAAGGTAAAAATTAGGATGAGTAGGAGCCAGGTCCAGATCCACACAAGGAAGAGCTTTCTAACAATTGGAGGAGATTGAAAATGCATAAAATAACAAAGAGCAAAATGAGCAGAGCCAAGAGAACATTGTTAACAGTAACAGCAATTTCATTTTAAGAATGACTTTGAGCAACTAAGTCATTTTGACTCTTATAAATACCCAAATTAACCATAAAGGATCTATGAAGGAAGATGCTGTCGGTACCCAAAGAAAGAACTGATAAATAAATGTATGTATAGAATTATTTTACTCATATGTACATATTTGTGTCTAATGATAGCCATCTCTAAGATGGGGAGAAGAAATAAAAAAGGGGGGAAAAGTTACATGATAACTTTATTATATATATCTAAAAGGAATAGCAAGTTGTACACAATAGATTGGTTAGTTTCATGTGTATTTTTTTTATCAAACTACATTATGGAAATGCTTGTTTCATTTCTTAAGTTCAAAATAAAATAAATAACTTTTTTAAAAAATGTAACGTGCTGCCTTGTGAGATAGCAAGTTCCCCATTACTAGAAAAGATTGGATGAAAGAGACTTTCTCATTGAGTGAACAAGATGACCTCAAAGGTCCATTTCAACTCTTACATTCCATCTCATGTGTTAAGAGTTACAAATAAGAAAACTGGATCCTCAAGGTCATATTTTCGAAGCATCCTTTCAGATGGGTGGGATGGAATGCTAGGAGAAATGAGAAAGCACCCTGACATCTCCATAGTCATAGTTCCAACTCCAAAAAGCTATTCAGTCTCTGAAGACCTGATGTCTACATTACAACTCTCTCTAACTGTAGGTTTTACAAACTATCAGACCGCATCCTCTGCTCTAAGCTCATGTCCCATTGTAACAGTGTGATGGAGCCAGCTCAAAAAGGCTCACGGGAGAGAGTCAATTGTCAGATTTTTAGTCTGAGAATTTACACCTTATATATTAGCAAATACTACAAACCAGGGCTTGATTTGCTGTTTTGTTGATTTTTTAGACTTAAGGAAATGATGGAGAAAACATTCATGATGCAGATTAATCTTAAGAGCATGTTGTATATACATGGTTTTTGTTGTTGTTTTCGGAGAGCCAGTTGTTAAATATTCACCAACACACTGCTGCTGTACTCAACTCAATTTCCTTATCAGTCAAATGGTGCCGATGGTGGTGGTGAGGCTGGACTAGACCACAGGTTCTGAACTTTTTTTTTTGGTCATGGCTCCCTTTCATATTCTGGTAAATCTTACAGACCCCTTTTCAAAAGAACATTTTTAGAGGCAGCTAGGTGGCATACTGGATAGAGCTCCAGCCTTGGCATCAGGAGGACCTGAGTTCAAATCTGGCCTCACACACATGACAATTACTAGCTGTGTGACTCTGGGAAAGTCATTTAACCCTGATTGTCTCACCCAAAAAATAAAATGCTTTTAAATAATTAAAGGAAATGCTAAATTTCAATTAGAGGTTAACAAAAATAAATATGTGCTTTTTAAAAAAAACGCCCCAATTCAAAGACCCCTTGAAATCTAGCCACAGACCCCTTGGGGAACCTTCGGACATGAAGTTAAAAACTCTTGAACTATATAAACACTTGAGTCCCTCCCAATTTTCAATTCTATGAACTCCATATTGCAAATCTACCAGGATTATCTGTATTTTACACCACAAGCAATGCAAACACTAATCCTCCCCTTCCCAAAGTAAAGTCCCCAAACATGTACCCTTAGCAAGTTAAATGGCCTTACCAATCCCTGTTTCCTCTACTTCATCCACATCTATGACCTGTGCATGCTGCTGGGGAAATCCTTCAGCTGGGTACAGGAACGACTTGGTTCCCCTACCAGAAGGATCCGGGTACTGATCCACCACAATGGGTTCTTCTAGAGGTGGTCTCTCCGTACTGGCGTGACGTGGGGAGATGGGATTTAACAAATCATATGTGTCTTCATCTCCTCTCCTGGGGACATCGTAAGGGTCAATTGTGGTGCCCACATCCTCCAAGCCCAGGGACCTCTCAGACACGCTCACCAGGTCATAGTCTTCATCTTCCTCATCTTCATATTCTGTGCCATCAGAGCCAAGGCTGCCATCAGCTGGCACCACACCACTGGCAGTGGAAGGGCTCCCAATCTCAAAAACCCAGACACCTTGACGTCCTGCATTGCTGCTCCTAGGGATAAAATAGGACAGCAGCTCTCAGAAAGCATTCCTATCCAAAATTAGTAAACAAGTCGTAAATAGCCCACATAGATATAAAACAGACTCTCCTCCACCCTCAAGACCTTTGTGTCTGAAATCTTCTGTAACGTACCAAAATAGCATGCTTATCAAAAGTGGCAGGGACTGGGAGAATGGGTTCAAACGGGTGAACATTTGACCTGCCACAGGACCAAGAATTTCCAGGGCCACTGGGATGTGCTATGCTATGTGCTAAGAGCACAGAAAACTCTTTGCTCACAAATACTAGAGGTTTTCCCAATTAAACAAATCTCCTTTGAGATATTTAGAAGGTGGAGTTAAGAGAAGCTATTTTATCTTAAAATACTACTGATTCCCATCTTGTTGGCGAAAATCCTTACATAATAAGATTCTTAGTGATTAATACCAAGCTATTAAAAATGCTCCATCCTCCCTCCCATTTAAACCCATCCTTTTTCTTGATTATCCCCTTTTCTCTTTAATCCCCACTCCTTCCTCAAAATTTTACTATTTTGCTTATACCATAGACATTTAAAAATGTTCATCACAGATTTCATTTATACAAAGGACAAATAGATTGGAAAAGGGGGACATGCCATCAATCAGGAAGGTTTTAAAGGTACAAGTTGGAAAAATTCAAAGTAATTTTGAATTTAATCTTGAATGGGATATCTGATCAACCTTAATGCCTTCGGCTCAAGCAGAGGAAGCCCCCAGGGACAGGGGAACGATAAATCAGAACTTGCTACATGAAAGCTGCTGGGTTTCCCCTTGCCCAGCCCATCATAGTGAGGGAAATCAAAGGGAGATAGACATTTTGGGTCCCAGGAAACTCCAGTATAAATATCTCCCTCTTTAGCCCTATTCTGTATAACAAAGTAGGACCATATTTTTTTTTTGAGCTAGTAGGGACTATATAAAGTCATCTAGCCCAACCCCCTTATTTTAAACATCAGGAAACTGAAGCCCTGAGATTAAGAGACTTGCCCAGGATCACAAAAGTTATGAGTGAGTCAAGATTGGAATCCAGGTCCTTTACTCCCAATCCAGCACTCTTTTCAAGGAAGCACGCTGCCCCTGTTCCTTTCTACCCTGAAAGCCATTCCTGGTAGAAAGTTTTGGGGTATTTTTTTCTCAGAGCCTGGGCTCACAGTAAGAGAAGGGTTTGGTGCTTCATACCCCTTAGGATGATAACACAAACTGCTGGCAGTCAGGACAATTCCATAAACATAGGATACATACAGTTACTTGGCTCACAGCAGAACAAACTCTTCCCCCAAAAAGGAACTATAGAAATCTAAAAAGTAAGTGATAGTCTATGATTGTGGAATATTACAGATATTATTAGGCTCAGTGCACTCACCTTGGAGTTAGAGGAACTAGGTTCAACTCTTGCCTATGACACTATCTGTATGAGTCTGGGTAAGTCACTTAACCTCATTATATGTAAAATGAAGGGGTTGAATTAGACGGTCTCTGAGGTTCTTTACAGCAATAGAGCTATGATCCTATATGTTAGTCCAGAACAATGATTTGTTCTGTGAAGTTTGGATTTAGTCAAAGGGCCACACTTGAGGACCTAGAGGGCCATATGTGGCCTCAAGGCCACAGGTTCCTCACCTGGCCCAGGTTAGTCAGTTTTATGATACTGCCTTTTTTTGCTTCTTTTTTCTTTCTGTTTTATTCTTTGTCAGAAGAGATAACTCATTGGATAGTGGAGGAAAAGGGCTATATCTGGAAACAAAACTGATATAAAAATAAACATCAATAAAAATTTAAAATTATAGTATTAAAAAAGTAATTTGTAGGAGGCAGACACCCTCAGGTGGTATACTTTGCATATAACCATGCCACTTTGAAAAATGGGAAGAGCCAAGGTGGCTTATTAATTAGAGGGACAGAAGATGGCAGGGAGAGGAATGTCTCCTCAAGAACAAAGAAAACATACTTGAC